TTATGACAGTTTAATGTTTCGAGATTACCACTTTTAAAGTCAACATCTTTAATTTTTTTAAAAAAAATTAAATGTTTATTGCTATTATTTAGTCTATTTAATACGGAAATCATACTTAAAAAAAAAGGTTTTAAATTACAAATTACACGTAACACGTTTTCCACATAGTTTTTGTGTTAATTTCTTTCAAGTATTAGAAGTATAAAAGATTTTTTTTTTAAGAATGCATTCATTTGCTTGCATAAAAAAAGGCAGTTTTTTCCCACGGAAAGAAAAATGGATTTATAGTCGAGATATGTTTTTTTTTTCATGATTTAAAAATTCTTGTTGATTTATTTTTTTGATAATCGAAATTATCTGATTATATCTTATCTGTTATTTGAAATCTTTTTAGTAGAAAAATACAAACCAATTAAAGATACAATTGCTAAAAAAATTAAAACATTTAAGGAAATACATAGAGTGAAAAAGAGATATCAAAAGAACACAGAATTTTATTTAGATCTTAAAAGACAAATCGCTTAACAAAAAAAGGTAATTTTTTAATTCATAGAAAAATGGGAAAAACTATTGAAGCTCAAAAAATTAATTTTGAGCGAATTAAGGTATACCGATTTTGTAGCTACAAGGACAAAAATTTCTGATTTTTTTTTTTTTTTGTAAAAGTGTATTTCGAAGCATTATACGAGAGCTGCATTTGTTTCGCAACACGAAATTGTGTTTGATGTCCAATGTATATAGATCTTCAGATGTACAGACAATTAATGACCATACAAATTTGAATTCAACATGGATAAATAAAACGAATAATGTTCCCATAGGTTTAACACAATAACACCAATGACCTTTTCTTTTAAATCTCAAGCACACATTCGACACACACTTCCAAAAATGTACCTTCTCTTTCAAAAGACCGAACACTGTAAGCAAAAAAAAAAAAGTTTTACCCTTTTTTTTGTTTTCTGAGAACTCTTGCAAAATCTCTTTACCAAATACGCCCCTACAACAAATCTAACCCGAAACCGCTATGTCTTTCACAATATCGGATTCCTATGGGACCTAGGACAATGGGGACTTCTTATGCAGACATAGGTGTGACAAATTACGAAGGCAGAGGTCAAGTAGAGGTCAACCAGAGGCATCTTTTGTCCACAAAACCTACATCTCGTGTGAGAAAGGTGTTTGGATTTCGACCTCATACGAGCGACAGGAAGGTTCATCGGAAACTGTTTGGCACTCATCTCGAACTAGGACATTGTTGTTCTGAATTATTCTTTTTAATTTATAAGTCATTAGGATAATTTTCTATAGGTAATCTTCCTATCTAGACGATGAAATGGACAGGCATGTTTATCGTGATTTTTTTTAAAAACAATTTTTTTTCTTTTGTAGGAAGAAAAACGAAAAACGTTTTCCCATTTAAGGAGAATTTGTCATGTTTATTTCGAGCGTTTGTTAACTTTTTTCTATTGTAGGAATTTTATAAGCCATCTTTACTGGGGTTCATTGATTGATTGAATATTTACGTCGCACTGTTCAGCTACACGAGGGCTTTTGGCGACGGACCACGTCATTTTGAACCATAGTCAAGTGACGTGGACGACACTTGAGCTGGCACCCACCTCTCCTAACTACCACACCACACCAACGGGAGAACGTTTCAAGCTCTCGACAGATTTAACGTGCATCGCTGCCCTACACGGCGGGTCTTTAGTGGTACTGGGCTCGAACTCGTGACAAGGCAAGCCACGATCCGATACCTATACCACTCGGCTACCGCGGCCATCTTTACTGGGGTAGACCAGGGGTTGGCAACATATGACACGTGGTACCATTCCTAGTGGCACCCTCGGCAAATTTGCCTATTTTTGAGTTGGTGGAAGTTGGTATTGTAATGGATTTTATTTGATAAACATCTTCAGATTCATGGACATTTACGGAATTACGAAAAAAATCTGAAAGTAACTCTAAATATAAATTTACAGTTATTTTGTAAATTATTGAATGTCATTGCTGAAGAGATTTAATAGCAGAAGAGAGTGCTCTAATAAAAGAGAATGCTCTATTATTGAAATAAATATAACTTATTTTCCTAATTTTCTTCTCAATAACCATTGCGTAATTTCAATTTATATAAAGGAGAAATCCACTCGCATCTCCGGAACTATTAGACCTGCATACTTTGAAATTTGGCAGGCATGTTCTTTTTGCAGAATAGAGATCCGCTATGAAACGGGTTTTACGAAAATTGACTTCCAAGAGGGTGTTGCCAGGGGCGAAGGGGGCGTTATGGATAAAAATTTACAGTTTTTGAATTAACATGTAACATTAACATTAATGTAAGCATGTTCCTTTTCCTCTAACAAATTTACAAAAATCTACCCCCGAGAGGGTTTGTAAGGTGGTAAGAGACGTTATTGATAAAAGATCCTGTTTTTGAACTGTTAGATGCATAAACTACTTGAAATTTAGTAAGCATGTTTCTTTTTTTTTTTTGTACATATCCGCTAAGAACGGATTTTAAGAAAATCTAAGGAAAAGTGGTAAGTTACTGGGGCGTATTGATAAAAAAAATCCTGTTTTCGAACTATTAGACCTACAGTTATAAAATTTGGTTTGCCTGTTTTTTTTTATTTGAGTTAAACTCCGCTAAGAAGGGGTTTTATGAATGTCGACTCTCAATGGGAGAAGAAAAAATACAAAGGTTATGAGGAAAATAGATAAAAAATTTTCGTTTTTGAACTGTTAGACATAAACTTGAGATTTGGCAAGCATCTTTATTTTGTTGAGTAGCAATCCACTAAGCACAAATTAATGGAGGTGGGGCTACGAAGGCCTAAGAGATAATTATACTTCCATTTCAGAAATTAAAGTTCTCTTCTTTTTGAATCAAGAGATGAGGGCTATAAAAATGGTTTTCAGTACAACCGAAAGCTTAATACTATAACTTAAAAAACAATAACTTAAAAAACAATATAGTCATAGAGCATCATGGAATACCCAGCGATACGGGTAAGTATGACGTATAGTAGTTTTTTTTTTATTATACCATTAACTAATGTCATTTAATCATTCCATTCTCTGAAGAACAGAGGGCTATTTTTTCCCCAAAACGTATTCGAAATGGGTGTATAAATACACTACCAGTAAAATCATCATCTGTCTGGAGTAACACAGGCACAAAAAGAGAGCGAAAGTGAGATTTGAAGGGTCGAAAGAATAGTGTAATGATTCAATGTTTCCGGTTCTCGGCTGTAATCGATGGCCTATTTTAATCCTCCTCTTGACCACTCTCATCGTGTCAAGGGCTCTCGGCCCATTAATACCTATGATTTAATGAATCGACTTCAGAGAGTTTGGCGGTTTCCCTTTATTGTTGTTTATTAGCACTCCTCACGCCAAGATGGGGTAATTATCCGAAATCTCGGTTTTCATTTTCGTCAAATGGTGTGAGCTCAATCAAACTTTTGGCCTCTGCTGGATGTCAGTTGGGGTTGGGGAAAAAAGGTGAAGGCTGAGCAGGGATCCTCCCATTTTTCTGCGGTTTGACCCCTGCCTGATATTGAAATAAATAAGCGATAACTTTTTGAGAAATGTGGTAGGCAAGTAAAGTTGTCAAATGTTAATGGATTTTTAGGTATAGTAATTTGTGAGGAGCAGCTATATATTGTGAATTTTACATCAAGAGTTTTTTTGGGGAAAGTGAAAGTAAGGAAATAATTATATTTCTCTCATTTTAAAATAGGTGATAGATGTATTTAATTATAACCTTATCTGCATTTTTTTTTATACAGAATGTCGAAACAGAGCGTATGCTAAACGTAAATGCGTAAACGGCAAAATTAATTTTAAAAAAAACAAAACAGGGGAACTGGCAAATCAATCTGTGCCAAAGATAAAACGTCATTTGCGGGATGTATTCTTATTTCAGTTTGGGTCGTGTAATAATATATTACTGTGTTTTCTCACACGTTTTATGCTATTGGATAAGTATAACTGTGTTCAATAATAAAGTATATTTGATCAAATGAAAATAAATGCTTGGTAATGACAAATAATTCTATTCCAATAAAACTATAAAATTCACATACATAACAATGTGTATTTTTTTTTAAAATTTTATGCCTAAACAAACAAAAATAAACATTTAAATTCTAGTATTTACTCTGAGCAATCTTATGATTCAGTATAATTTTTTACGCAATATTAAGATTCATCGACGATATTTTTTTCATAGTTACATCATATATTTATTGCTTGTATGAATTTCCGTTAGAAAATACCAAGAAAGCTACGAAAATAAAAGAATAACTTTGAAATAAACATAAAAAAAATCAGTTATTGAATATTGTAATTGTATATATTAATATGAAATCTACTTTATAAACATCTTTACAAATATGTGATTTTACATTTTTGGATGCCTGAAAAAGTTTTCTTAAGAATTTGAAGCATCCATAAATTTTTCATTACAATAGGTTTAAAATATAATATCATAAATAAAGTGTTAATTCTCTCCCCCCCCCCCCAAAAAAAAAACTTGTGTTATACACACGCTTAAAGAAAACATGGTTTTCTTTTTGAGATGAAAGTTTCTTTAAAATAAGTATAATACTTTAAGAAATTTGAAAAATTCTACACAACATAAACACTGCATTTTTCAATTCAAAATGAGTTGTGGATGGTAATTTTAAGCAAAAAAAGTAATATATAAAATTTTTTTAAAAGTCAATTCCTACTTAGGTCAACAAAGAAAATTTTTTATTTTAGTTACTTTTTATTAAATAATTGCAATTAATATAAATATGTATATACATAGGACAGAATCACAATATTAAGTGGCAAAATAGAAAGCGCGTTTTTCCTCGTAATTTACCATTTTCCTATGTATGATGTTGGACTATTATTTTTCTTTGTTATTATTTATTCATTCATTAATTGAATTTAATTATTTCAATAAAATAGTGTAGTAAAAGAAATAACATTCTCGGAAATTAGGCCATCCTAGGTGAGATTCGAATTCACGATCTTTAGATTAGAAGTCCAACGCGCTATCCATTGCGCTACAGGGACACAACGGAATATTTTACTTTTTATGTATGGTGTTGGACTATTTTGTTTGTTACTTTTTATTCATTAACTAAATCTAATTAATGAATTAATATTTGAAAGAACTGTATTAACACCCAAGTGTCATACACTACAATTTTAATAAAATGTATTTAAACTTGAGTGGATGTATAAAAAGTATTTTATTAACGATTGAAAATTTTAACAAGATATATACAGTCGAACCTCCATATTACGAACCTCTATATTGCGAATTTTTCTATAGCGAGCTTTTTCCTAGAATCAAGAACATTTCACTACTTCGTAGAATAACCTCCCAATATCGAAGTGCATTTTCTATGTAACGAACTTTTTTTCTTGTGATTCAATTTTTTCCACCCTATTTTTAAGGTATTTCTGGACATTTTAAGTTATTCTCTCTTTTAACATATTTTATGGCGTTCACAAATCTTGAACCGATTTTATTAGGTGCCTAACTCACCGAGAGCAATAGAATTTTGGGCATTTCATCCAAGAAGTTCAACCTTTAACCCCCAGTATGCAGTTCACTAAAAACATCTTCGATATCTCCCATTCACCCTCAGTAAAATTCTAGTAAATTACTTGAATTTTGAACATACTTTATTAGAGAAAATGTCTTTAAAATTCATTAATTTTAATATAAAATTATTTTCTCAATGTTGGTAATACAGTGTATTCCTCGACATTCTCTTTTCTTGTTTTCCTTGAAGTTTTTTTTTATGGGTAAGATATAAGATGTGAATAATTACTTTTTTTAGTATATAGTGGTCATGAATTTAAAATTTGCTTTATGTGGTTTGATGCTGAAAACTAAATATATTTAAGGACACCCGCATACTACTAAATACTTCTAGATGAGTGATAATTAGGTTTACTTAATGCATTTTTATTTCTTTTTCAGTTGATGGGAAATGCTGTCCTTGCCGTCATAGTTTTTAGTGAAGCTGGAAATTTAGGATCCGTGATAGGACCCCTAGGCTGGGGTCTATCTCTTATGGTCGCCATTTCCGTAGCTGGAGGAGTATCAGGTAAAACTATTGCCTCATTTCTTTATTACGCAAAATAATCTATAATAGCTCTAAAGAATTTAGTTACTAGTCATTTAGTTTCTTCAAATAAAGAAAAAAAAAAACCCATTCAAATGTCAAAGCTAAAAAGATCGGGTTCTTATGTATTATGTTGTCGATCAATTTTACTAACTAAAAAAAAAAAAGCCAAATGCTATCTTTGTGATTATTATTGTGTTCAAACATGCGCGCGAGCGGTTTTCATTATTGGCGGTATATCACCGAATTTGGCGATGTTTTTCGAATTCACGAAATTCGTCGACGTAATACGTAAGTACCAAAAAGAATTTTAAATATATTTGTTTCTTATAATTTGACAGAGAAATTTAACATTCCACTTTGCATTGAAATGAACGCTGTTGCCAATCGACTGCGTCTCATTTGACTTAGTTTTTGTTGTTGGCAACGATAGTTAATTCAAGTGTTTAAATGCTGTTTAATCCGAAAAGTTAAAATAAAAGGCAAGTTTTACTTTGTAACTATTCATCAAACTAAAAATGAACAAGTAGAGAGATATTTTTATTGAATAATAAGTAATAGAAATTTCTATGCACATAAGTTTAACTTTTTATGAAATATTGTCGACACTAATTCTTTCGTTTATTGATTTGCATTGCTTTTTTGAACTTTTTCCCCCCTCCTTTTAATTAAAATTTGTACTACCTGCTTTTTTAAATATAAAATGACATTTGATTTGTTTTTTAAAAATGCCCATAAGAGGTAAAATGGAAATATATTTTTAAAAACATTGAATTTTTCATTTTATATAACTTCCACATCAGTTTGTTCGTTAAATAAACTCTTTTTCACAAAAGTGTTGATCTTTCAATATTTTTTGAATGGCTTTTTGGTCTAAATTATTTTTCTTGTACATGTTCATATTTTTACTTTTCCAAATCTGCTTAGTTTTTAAATACTTCACAAATATTGTGCTTAGGGGCTTGTTAAAGTTAAAATTTCCAGTTAAAAAATTGAATTAATCTATGTATAGGAGCCATGGATGAAATTTTGCAACGCATCTTTGAAAATTTGTATCCGAATAGCTTGGGTTTCATTTCTGAAGTGGTTGCTGAAGGGATGACGTTTATCTGAAGTGTAGATTAACCCGATACAAATTATGCAGTCCTCTTTATATTTGATTACTAAGTGATTGTTAAGTAACAATCCATAAAATTTTATTTCCCTTGCTCTCAACCAGGTTTTTCGATACATATCCTTTTTGATCTGTGAGGTCTTGCAACAAAACTAGCTTTTGATATTTTAGGAAGCACATTTTAAATTTACTTACAATACATTATGCTGATTATAATATTAATTCGTGATCATTTACACAGTGAGACTCAAGAACTATTAAATCAAAGTCTGAAAAACTTTAAACATTAAATTTATTAACATTAAAACAAACAGTTAAATTCTCAAGCCTAAACATATTAATCCAACGTTCAATCATGTTAATATCTTAAGAAACAGTCATGATAATAATCCCTCAATCTCTCGAATAAGCAAATCACATGCATTTATATACAGGGTGTCTAGGCTTAACGTATCGAAAAGCTATAACTTTTAAAAAGGGAACCCCGCATCAGAATATAATGAACTGTTCATCCGAGGATTGGAAACCCCTCCGTGATTTTTTTGGGTCTAATCCGATTGGCTGCACGTGTACGCATTATTCTGCAGTCTCGCAGACGATAAACTTATTGTACTGACTTCATTAGTAAAGATGCGGACGCCGCAGTGAAAGGTACAGTACTTACATTGGTTAATGGAATATAAATCAGTCACACGTCTACAGCGACGTGTTTGAACAGAATGGAATGTCGATCCCCGACTTCAAAATCTATCCACCAATGGGAAAGAACTTTAAAGAAGACAGGAACTTTGGTATTTGAAAAACTGGCAAGTATCTTTAAGTTTTCGTGACAGAAGACATTGTAGATCGTTTGCCTGATTCATTTTGTAGGAGTCCTGGTAAGTCTATTAGGCAAGCCAGTAACAACATCCCATTTTGTTTGAACACGTCGCTGTACACGCGTGACTGATTTAAATTCCGTTAACCAAAGTACGCCCTGCACTTTATGCTACGGCGTCCACACCTTTACTAATGAAGTCAGTGATACAAATTTATCGCCTATGACTGCCAAACAATGCGGGCACGTGCGGCTGATCAGACTAGACCCAAAAGATCTCGGAGAGGTTTCCAATCCCCGGCTGAACAGTTTATTATATTCTGAAGGGTAGTTCTGTAATAAACCGCCATAACTTTTGAATACTTTAAGCCCAGACACTCTGTATTTAAGCGAAGAACTGATGGCATAGGAGAAAAGAACGTTATAGAAGGCTTTATGGAGATTAGATACGGCATATGATTAAGTAGCATCGCGATCTGCCTATACTCCGATTAATGGAAACTCCAGGTGAGACAGGAAATTGTGGTAAAAGCAGGTTGAAGGCTTATGGTCAACAATACTTTATTTATAGGTTTTATCTCTTCTATATTTTTTATATTATTAAGTGTATATCATTGAATAAATGATTCTTTTGTTATTACTTTGAATTAAATTTAATATTTGTATTTTGGTGTGTAATGAGATGAGTTTCTTGAAATTAAACAACTCCGCATTATCATTTACATATAAAAGTACATTTATTAACGGATATATTACTATACAACTACTTATACAAGTCAAAATTGACGTTTATCCATTCTTTGCAGGTTGTCACGCGAATCCTGCCGTCTCGCTGGCCTTCGCGACCGCAGGGAAACTGTCTTGGAAGAAAGTGTTGCCCTTTTTCTTCGCACAATACGCCGGAGCCTTTGTTGCATCCATAGTGCTATATGCTGTGTACTTTGGTGAGTAGCACGAACAACATTTTAACAGTTTGCTAACTTTTGGTAACGATGTATTATTTTTAGGTATTTCTTAGGTAAATACGAAAAATTTATGACCTCGAAGTACATGAGCAAGCTTTCATTTTTTCTATGTTATTTGCTGATTTTGCTTTTCTTTTTTGACCATTATTTACAATATCTAAAGATGAATAAACTCACAATGGACATTCAATAGTACGTTCCTTGCTACTTAAGTAGACACAGGGAAGGTTTAAGGCATTGGCCAGCTTGGCCCAAGCCCTGGGCCTTGGAGGGTGGGGATTTATATCGTTTTTGGCTCCTATAAGATCCTGATCTGAATCGTAAAATGTTATCCTCGAACATAGTCTGAAATTCTCAGTGATTTATAGAAACTATATATCAACTAGCAACAGTGGCAAGACTGTTATTATGACATGTCTGTCGTCCGTGTTAAGGCCTATTACCATGCACCATAATTAGTCATTTAATCGAAAGGCGGCAGTCGGTTTGTGCCTAGGTTTGTGAGATGGTGAGTAACGCCCATTTGTTGTGGATAACCATTTATACGATTATTTGAAAACGTATGATTTCAAACTGTCTGCTTAAAAGAGTCGCAGGGGTGCTACTTTTACAGAAGGGCCCAGGGTCTCAAGAAGTTTTAAGGCATCACTAGGCAGAAGAGTAATTATTGCGAAATTGTAGCCAGTGATGTTACACTCGAGTCGCACGTTGTGTCTTGATTCCAGAGAAAAGACCCGTCGTGTAGAGAGACAGATGCATTTTAAATATGTTGGTGACAGTCGAGTGAGGTGCCAACTCAGATGTCGACTCTGTCATCGTGGCTTAAAATGACGAGTGGAAACCTGAAAGAATCCCAATGGGCTTAATTCATGACGGTCATATGATAAATACAAACACGTGTTTATGGAATTCAAAACAAGCATTAAACTAATTGTACTTGTTGTTCTGTTTATTAAACTTACAAAAAAAGTTTTTCAAAAAGATATTAAAATCTAAAAAAAAATCTTATTTAATGCATATATTTTTAAATAAAATGCATT